ACACTGAACTCAGGCGGTCAGTCTTGGTGGCAAATATCTTCACCCACTGAGCTATCTTGCTGGCCCTGACTTTGAATTCTGATCCTCTCAAGTGCTGAGATTATAGGACTGTGTTACCAAATCCAGTTTATTTGGTGCTGGCGATTGAATCCAGACCCTTGGGCATGCAAGGCAAGCGCTCTACCAACTGAGCTATATCTCCAGCCCTAGCCCTGATTTTTCATAGTTGGGAGCAGTTACAAATGACTTCTTAAACAGAAGTCCAACGTCTGGCTCAAGGCAAGGGTGGCTGGAAGGCAAGAGGGTAGTATTTCTCTCTCTCTCTCTCTCTCTCTCTCTCTCTCCTCTCTCTCTCTCTTTCATTCTGACAGTCTCATTGTGATTCCCAGCCTAGCCTCAAACTCCTAATCCTCCTGTCCCAGCTTCCTAATACAGGGATTGCAGGCCAGTGCCACCACACCTGGCTATAAGAGACTGCCAGTTGTAGCATCTATAATAGCAGTAACAGTTGACTCCCCTCAAAATTCATTCAAGGGCTAGTGAGATGGCTCAGCAAGTACAGGGGCTTGCTGAAAAGTCTGACAGTCTGATTTTGATTCCCAGGTCCTAATGGTAGAAGAAGCAAATAAACTCTTGCAGGTTGCCCTTTGACCTCCACATGTGTGCCATGGTACCAATGTGCACTCAAAATAAATGAATAAATAAATAAATGCATAAAAAATAAAATGAAATAAAAACTCATCAGAGAGCCAGGAGTGGTGATGCAAACTGCACTTGGGAGGCAGAATCAGGAGGATCAGAGATTCAAGGTCATCCTTGGCTACATATCAAATTCAAGACGTGCCTAGACACATAAAACCTTATTGAAACCCATTCCAAAAATTGAAATGGGGCCTGGAGAGATGGCTCAGCAGTTAAGAGCACTGGGTACTCAGGTTCAGTTTCCAGCATCCACATGGCAGCTCACAACCATCCATAACTCTAGTTCCAGGGAATGTGGCACCCTCTTCTGGCCTCCACAGACATTGCATGCATGGGTGCACTTACATACATGCAGACAAAACCCTTATACACTTAAACACATAAACAAAAGTTTTTAAAAGTCTGAAACAAAAGTCTTGTTAGAGAGAGAAATTCCCCACCCAAAGCAAGAGAAATTCATTCAGAGTCTGGCCAGTTGTCAGAGTCTATTCTCGCTGCAATAATGAAATACCATTGGTAACACCCATTTCACAATAATGATGCACAAAACAAAAACAAACCCAGTTTACCATATTTAAAAAAAAAAAAAAACCCACGAATTTATCTCTCATACTCCTGGAGTTGGGAAGTTCAAGTACATGTTCCAGTAAAATCGGTGTCTGATAAGGGCAGCTTCCTGGGTCTTTAGAGAGGTGGCACTTCCAGCTGAGACCCACATTTGCAATGGGGAAGGAATCTCTCTGGGACCCCTTTCATAAATAAGGTTTCTAGTCCCATTCATGATGACCTTATTACCACCCCCAAATCCTTCATTCTCATATATTATCTTTTTTAAATAGCACAATATATTTTATTGCACATTTCTGAAAAACAGAAAATCTAATGATCTACTCTTATTATTCCATTTTAACCAAACTACCCCAAATTTTATTTACATTCTTTCAAGTTATTGTATTTCATCTCAGACTTGAGGCTTTTAAAGTACATGTGAGCTGGGCATGGTGGCACACGCCTTTAATCCCAACACTTGGGAGGCAGAGGCAGGTGGATCTTTGTGAGTTCGAGGCCAGCCTGGTCTACATAGTGAGTTCCAGGACAGCTGAGGCTACAGGGAGACCCTGCCTCAAAAAGACAAAAATAAATAAATAAAAATAAAGTACATGTGAATACCTGAGAGTCATTGGTGCTTCTTTGGATCAAATCAAGGCATAGAGGTACAAGGAAGTCATTCAAATGCATTCAGACTATACATACTCCTTGTAGATTACTGGTGACAAGTTTGGAACACACAACAAACAAAATAAAAAGAAGAGAAATACCTCAAAACTCATACACACAGATTATTCAAAATAATTGCTGCATAGTCTAATCTCAAAGAGCATCTGTCTCATCTGCTACATGACATTAGAGAACAGGAATAACAAGATGGCTCAGCAGGTAAATGTGCTTGCTACTAAGCCTAATAACCTGAGTTCAAATCCCTGGAACCTATTTAGTAGAGGGAGAGAACTGACTCCCAAAAGTTGTCCTCTGACCTCCACACATGCATGCCATGAAAGACACACACACACACACACACACACACACACACACACATTTAAAAGTTAAAAAGGAACCATTTTCTATCCCAGTATCCCAAAAGGAGCTCATCTGTGGTGTATGCAGAGACTGCAGGGACACTTGACTGGCATGCTTCTTGCCTCACTCTGATCTCCCTTAGGACCAACACCTCTTAAGCCCTCTTTCAAACCATAAATATCTTCTCAATTTTGCCTGTGGGTCTGTGCACTGTCAATAATATCCGGACTCCTTTCTGCCTGGGGAAGCCACCTCTAGTGTCCTGAAAGATACTTTCAAGTCTGTCCTGGGTCTGGGGCTGTCCTGGTAGAGGGGAAGCAAGGTTGGTACTAGGGTCGAGAGTCAAGTTTGAAGGTCCTTTGCTAACATTTCTGGCTGTGAGCCCACAGAATCACTTCAGATTCCAGGGGGTTTTCTTCATTGGACATCCGACAGGGGGTCATGGTTGGGTTAAACATTTGTGATGGTACCATTGGCCATGGGCTGGAACCTCAAACACTAGCTGCCAATACAATTGCTTAGTCCTAGAAGAAACCAAAGCCCAAATTCCAACAGTAGGCGGCAAAATAAGCCAACGTAACACCATTATCTTTACGGTTGAAATGTGTTCACTTCAGGGAGGCTGAGATGAGCGGACCCCTGGGGCTCGCTGGCAGGCCTGTCCAGCCTCATTGGTGAGCTCCAAGCCAGTGAGAGACTCTGTCTCAAAGAATGGAACTCCTAAGGATGATACCAGCGATTGTCCTTTGGCTTTTACATGTACCCCCACACGTGCACACACACACAGACACACACACACAGACACACACACACACACACCATATGTTCACTTCAACCACGAGTTTGAGGGTACATAGACATCCAGTCCATTAAAGCAGCCAAAAACAATGCTAATGCTATAACCAGGAGGCATCTGCCAAGTCAATGACCCAGGAGACTGAGGGCCAGAAATGACATCCTGGTTCAGGAGAGAGCAAATATGTCCCATCCAGGGGAGCTAGGACTGTGTGGCACCCTAGGAGATGTGTAGGACAGTCCTGGAGACAGCAGGAAAAACTTGGGAGTCCATCCAGGATTTCTACTATGAGGCAAGGTCTGGGAGACTCTGGAACTTCTAGAGGAAGTGCTCACCTAGACAACTTGCAGGGGAGGCCTGAGAGAGATGCTAAAGCTTCCAGAGCAGTTTAGAAACCCCCCCCACCCTTTGCCCTGGCTTATTCTGTGCCTCATTTCTCTGGGTAGGCCGCTCCTAAAGATAGCAAGTCTCCTGGTGCCAGTGGACTTAGCAAGGTGTGCTCACCTTGGGTGCCTGCACTGCTAGTGGTCCCTGGGAATGAGGTCAAGCTGGGGCTGGGAGAGTTGGAAGGCCTGCCCGTGACTGGGTCTGGTGGCCTTGTATTAGTGAGTTGCCTGGAAATGGAGGCTGGGGAGGTAAGTGAAGATCATATTTCCCGGGCATCTGCTGTTGTGGTCCTGTATAAACCAGTTGTTGAATGTTTGTGTTACACCCAAAGTTGTGCCAAGTGCCTGGCACCCAGTGCTCCACCAGACCCTCTGAACAACTCTCTTGCCTGGGAGTTCTCATTGCTCCTTTCCAAAACAGGTTTGGTTACCTCCAACTCACCCAGTAGGCTGCTGGTCAGGATTCAGATGTGTCTGACAGCTGAGCGGTAGCTACTGAGGCTGATCAGGGGCCACAGCTGTATTGTTGACATGCTGAGAGAACCTTGGGAGAAAGAGAGGAGGCCACAGGGCACCTTCCTCAGGGCTACCCACAGCATGTTCTAGTCCCTTCCAGGACATGGGAGAGGGGGTTGCTGCCCCCACTCTGGGGAATACAGAGGTGACTCGAAGACCTGGGTCAGTGTCTACAGCCAAGATATGGAGTTCTTTAGGAGGAAGAACTGGACTGGTTCTTCTCTGAGGCCACCTCTTTGGAGATGGTGTGAGCCTCTGAGGGCAGGACAGAACTCATTCCAGAGGCTGCAGGTGCCTATGGCTGGCTGCACCTTTGAAACCACTTGGGTCCTCTGAGCTTTGCATTTTATCCAGCTGCAAGCTCTGCTGCAGATTGGCAAGCCATCTAGCAGGAAGTTCCTGGGCAGAGTTCTAGGGCTCTGCAAGCTCAGGCACCTTTCTTCCTAGGCTTATCTGCATCCCCTATATGTCCAGTACTCAGCCTGGTGTCAACAGGTTTAGCTAATGGTAGAGAAATTTCTCAAGCAAGCATGAACACTTTTGCAATGGGATAGGGTGATCTGAGTTAGATTAAAAGGTACATAAATAAATCCAAAGACACAGGCATTACCTGCAAGGAGGGACTGTCTCCCTTGCTGTGCAGTGAGCTCTTCAAGGTCAGGAACCATGTTCTGCTGTCCTCCAGGGGTCCCTCTCAGTATGAAACCCAGTGTCAGGCACACAGTCCAGAAAAGCTGCTGACTCATTAGCTGGTGCTCAGAACATTGACTGCCACCTCAAGGGCATCTGATAATTGTTGGATAAATGACTGTGAGTAGGTTGCATAGTTTGTCTTGTGATGGTATGTGACATCTTTTCTGTACCCCTGTCTCATCTCTAGCGTTCCAGCCCCTCCTGCAGTCTCATCACCCCAATCCTAGGTGTCCCACAGTCCCTGAAAGATGCTTCCAAGCTTTGTCAAGCAGTGCTCTTCTCCCTACCTCAAACCAGTGATAAGAAGCCACATAACAACCAAACAGAGCTAATTTCTCAGAAACTTTATTGAGTAGTGAGATGGGACATCATCTCCTGCAGGACATGTATCCTCAAGCAAGTACAAGAAGTGCTTAGGGACAGACCGACAGACAGGTGGTGGGGCAGGACATGTGTCCTCAAGCTCGTACAAGAAGTGCTTAGGGACAGACCGATAGACGGGTTGTGGAGCAGGGCAGGTGTCTGCTGTGCTGGGGCGAGGGCACCAGGGGCAGCTCAGCTCTCCAGGGGGTTGGACTGCACCTGCTCTTGGGCCTGCTCTGGGAGGGGAAGGGCCAGGGGCTGGTCCTGGCTTTCCTTCTTCAGGGTACCAAAGAAGGAGCTGACCTTGTCTCTCAGGTCCTTCTCCAGGAAGCTCAGGTGGCTTTCTACGTCCCCCGAATAGGGGCCCATCTGCTGCCTGAATTGTTCCATGTGCTGCACCAAAGCTTTGTTGAACATCTTTCCATAGGGCTCCACATTGCGCCGGAATTCCTCCACCTGCTGGTCTAGCTGGCTGCTCAGGTCGGCCAAGGACTTCTGAAGCCCCTCAGTGTTGCCCCTCAACTTGGTGTGCACATCTTCCACCATGGGTGTCAGCTTCATCCGCAGCTGGTCGGCATTGGCGGAGATCTTGGTTTGCAGCTCCTCGGCGTTCTTCTTCATCTGGAAGGCCAGGCCCTCCAGCTGGTGATTGAGTTTTTCCTGCACATCCTCAGCATAGGGGGCAAGCTTGTGGCGCAGTTCTTCCACATTCTGGTCAATCTTGGCCTTGAGCTCGGTGGCGGAAGGCATGAGGCGACCCTTGAGTTCCTCCATATTCCTGTTGAACTTGTCCTTGAACTCCTTAGCATAAGGTGTCATTGAGGCCTGCAGGTTGTCCACATTCTCCTGCAATGTGGTCTGCATGTGTTGCACATAGGGAGTCAGCTGGCGCTTCAGTTCCTCTGCCTGAGTGTTGACCTGGGTGTGGAACTCCTCTGCATAGGGTCTCAGGCTCTGCTGCAATTTCTGCATGTTGTCCCCAAAGGTCTGGCTCACCTGGTTGGCATGGGGCATCAGGCGGGCACGTAGGTCCTCCACCTCCCTTTTAATATCCTCTTTTAGCTTCTCTGAGTCCTTGGTCAGGCGCTCTTGCAGCTCTGTGGCAAAGGGCACCAGCTTCTTCTGCAGGTCACTTGCATAGGTATTCATGTCCCCAAGTTTGTCCTGGAAGAGGGTGCTGAAGAAGGACATAAGAAGGCCTCTGTTAGTCTTGGTATTAAATACAGTTGTAGAACACAGCTTATGTACACCTGCCTCGGACAGGTGTATGTTCATGGGTGTGGAGACACCCCCATCCCATCTTTTTCCTGTGGTCCTCCCTAGAGTGGGTTATGCTTTGAAGAAATATACTAAGACTAACATTACTTTGGATTTGTTTCTCCGGATCTCCCGCTAAGCTTGAGCATCCTTATCTACCCTTCACATGGCTTAAGAAGTTTGTTTTCCGTTCTTGTTTGTGAAGTATAGGACTGGACTTTGACATCTCTACCAGCCCAGGATCACACTGTGCAATCAAATGTTGTCAGCTCTGTCTTCTAGCAGCACAAGGGTCTGATTTCCTTGCATGTGCTCAGAGGCTCTCCAAATAACCCAGTATCCCTTCCACTGGAAGCCCATCTCACAAGGCATTTCCTCCTTCTCTTTCTTCCATGAGCCTGTGATGGGATCTAGTATTTATCAAACTTTAGCATGTGAAAATAAGAAGAAACCTTAGGGGTTCTTGAGTTCAACCTCTCTGTTTACAGGGGGACCTAAGCCAGGAGGCCAGACTCCCCTAGTAAGGAACTGGCAAGAGAGGAAGTATTTCCCATGTGTTGATGTCTTCTAAGCTGAGCTTTATCCCTACAGGCCAAGGCCCCTTACCTGAGCTGCTGACTGACTTCCGACTTCTGGAGTTGTTCCACAGCGTCCTTGGCATTGCTGCTCAGCTGGGTGAAGTAGTCCCACATCACAGTGGCCACCTGGTCTGCATTGAACTCAGCCTGGGTGCCTGGGCAGACAGCAAAAAGAAAGTCCTACGAACCATCTCTCTTCTGGCTCCTCTACCTTTCTTCTGAGCTGGATGATATTGGGGTTGGGGAAACCCCAACCCATTTTCCCTTCTCTGGGCTTTCTTGGGGAGCATCAATGCTAGCAAGGGGAACCTGGCAGCCTCCATACCCAGGTGGGGGCCAGAGGCCACCCTGAGCTGACCACCAGCTCTAGCACTGGCTTTCCACATTGCCTCACTCACTGAATTGCCCTGAGAGCTGTGCCTACTCACCCGTGACAGCCACCAGGGCCAGGCTCAGCACCACCGCCTTCAGGAACATCCTGGACTCCTCACTGGGCCGGAGCAGTCTCAGTCGCACTAGATCCTTCCTGGAGTTAGAGGGAACAAGGACACTTCACCTGTGCTGCTGTGGAAACTGACTGCAGGCAAGTCCAGCCACGCATTTAAAGCCCCTCCAGCCCTTTCTCCCCGCCTCCTTTCCAGTGTGGCTCCACGTTGGAAGGTGACACATTCCCAGGAGGCCCCTTGGACTTTAGTGGCCTTTAGACAGCGTGGAAGCTGACAACATACTGGAGCTTAAGTAGTAGTGGGAAGCAGACTTACTGAGCGGGGCCCCACCCTGTGCAGGAGGCTGAAGTGGGGAGCCAGGATCTTTGGGAGAAACCAGCTGGATGTGGGGCCTAGGGAAACTCCTAATCCAGGACTGAGGCCCCAAAGGTCCTGCTGACAGCCCTGAGTCTGTGCCAGGCTTCAGGGAGCAAGGTCCAGGTTTCTCTTGTCTGCCCCAGTGAGACTGTCCCCACCCTGACAGTTGCCACCAACCCAGACTCTGTCTCAGAACACCAGCCACAGATGTGGCACCAGGCCTATGCAAGGCTGACATAGGTAGTGAACTGTAGTTTAGGTGTCTGTGACAGTCTTTGATCAGGAGAGGGTGAGGGTCCAGGATTGAAGGGGTTAAGCATAAGGCCTCACATCTCATCATCATCTAGTTGATAAGCCTCAGTTTCCCCTTTGAACAGTATTTGTTACATTAAATGAGATGACACTTGTGAAATGGGTACAGTGGTGTTGGACCAGAATAAGCACTAGAATTTAACTGTTATTAATAATGACAATGATTTTCTGACACAGACCAAAGCCAAGAGTGGAGGAAAGGACCTGGGTTCCACTACAGAGAGGGAGAGGGAGATCTGCCATCACCCTCGGAGGGTAGCCAAGTGGGCTAGAGGTAGTGAGAGAGTGAGACCAGCCTGAGGCCTGATTGCTGTCCTCAGCCACATGCAAGAGCCACGCGGAATCGCCACTCTCTCTTGGATGGAATTTGGCTAGCATTGCTGTGGGATATCAGCTACTTGACTTCCTGGGGCATCTCTAAATTCATCCATAAATGACTCCCTGGGGATTTCTAAATGTGTTCGTAAATGCACAATCACAGAAGATATCTACCCAGAAGGTGGCAGGCCATGGTCAGTTTGGGGCCTCTGTGGTCCATACTAGGCACTGAATGATGACATCTGTCATATTGCCCTGCCCAGTGTTGTCCATGAGCCATTTGTGAAATGGACAGCCTTGGGGTAGACCACAATTGTGCCAAGTCTAGCTGGTCATGTCATTGTCTTTTTTGTTTGTTTTTTTTTTTTAATTTATTATTTTTTAATATTTTATTTATTTTTATTTTATGTGTATATGTGTATTGCCTGCATGTAGGTAAGTGCACCCATGTCGTGCAATGTCCCTGGAGGTCAGAAGAGGTTGTCAGATCCCCTGGAACTGAAGTTACAGACAGTTGTTAGCTGCCATGTGGGTGCTGGGATTCGAACCCAGGTCTTCTGCAAGAACAACCAGTGTTCTTAACCGCTGAGCCATCTCTCCAGCCCCTTGTTTGTTTGTTTAATGTGCCCAGAGTGACTTGTTTCATAGGGCTAAAGACAACTGAACAGTCTCTAATACCTGCCCTCCTTCTGCTGGACACCTACTGCCCTGCTGCTCCACATTACCATGGCTGTCTCTGGAGGCCAGGAGCTCCCTCCTTCCCAGTGCAGCTTTGCCATTCCAGTGGGTGTTTTGTTGTTTGGTTTTGTTTTGTTTTTGGTCTTTTGAAACAGGGTCTCTCTGTAGCCCCAGCTGGCCTGGAACTCAGTATGTAGATTAGGCTGGCCTTGAACTCACAGAGATCCATCTGCCTCTGCCTCGCAAGTGCTGGGAAAGGCCTTTACCACCACACCCTGCTTCAGTGGTGTTCTTTTAACTATTTTTTTTTATTTATTTATTTTTATTTTATGTATACGAGTATTTTGCCTGCAGGTATGTAAGTGTACCATTGCATGCAGTGCCTTTAGAGGTCAGAAGGGAGTGTCAGATCCCTTGGAACTGGACTTACAGATGGTTGTTAGCCACCATGTGGGTGCTGGGAACTGAACCTGAGTCCTCTGGAAGAGCAGCTAGTGCTCTTAACCACTGGGCCTAATCCTAGCCCCTTTTTTTTAATTAAAAAAAATTCATTTGCTGGATGTGGTGGCACATACCTTTAATCCCAGCACTTGGGAGGCAGAGTCAAGCGAATCTGTGAGATTAAGGCCAGCCTGGTCTACATAGCAAGTTCTAAGTCATCTGGGACTAGGTGGCACATGGCTTTAATTCCAGCACTCAGGAGGCAGAGGCACGCAGACCTCTAAAGTCAACCTGGTGTGCATGGCAAATACCAGGCAAGCCAAAGCTATATAGTAAGACCCTGTCTCAAAAAGATTGATTGACTGATTGATTGATTGATTGATTGATTGATTTATCGATCAATTTTGTGTACGTGGGTACATGTGCACGTCATGGTCCATGCGTGGCAGTCAGAGGACAACTCTCAGGAGTTGGTCCTCTCCTTCTACCATGTGGGTTCCAGGGATTGAACTGATGTCATCAGACTTGGGGCAAGGGGCCCTTAGTCTCACAAGGATTTGAATGTTTCTGCCTCTTGAGTGTTGGAATTAAAGCCATGTGCCACCACATTTGGTTTAATACAGCTTTAAAAAATATTTTATTATTTCTATTTTATGTGTATGAGTACATCGCCTGCATGTACTGTAAGTGCCCCTGTGTTGTACAATGCCTGCGGAGGTCAGAAGAAGGCATCAGATCCCCTGGCACTGGAGTTATGGGTAGTTGTTAGCTGCCACGTGGGTGCTGGAAATTGAACCCAGGTCCTCTGCAAGAGCAGTCAGTGCTCTTAACTGCTGAGCCATCTCTCCAGCCCCTAACACAACTTTTTAAAAAGTAGTCACCACAGGTTTTTAAAAAATAATTTACTGAAAATTTCATACATGCATATAAGGTGTTTTGATCAAATCCGTGCCCACTCCCTCCCCTCCAAGTCCTCCTCTATCTTCCCATCACTTCTTTCTGATAACTTCATATACTATTTCTTCTTCTTTGATTTATTTATTTTTTTTAATGGGGCTTTTGGCTATTCTAACATTCCCCCCCTCTGAAGAGGTAACCCTAAAATCTTTTAAGGGTTAGATAAAAGCTCCCAAATATTTTCAACATTTTTTGGCCTTTGGAACCGAGTATGTTGCTAAAAGGCCCAAGGGCATTGGCTACTTTTCTTTGAGGTCTTTTTACCCTAACTGCCTAGCCAATTCCTACCTCCTATTCTTATCACACCATCCTCTGAAGAGGTTATCCAGCTTGCAGATAGGGAATTGGGACACAGACCACTCTGGCTTCTTCCATGCTGAACAGGGACACAGGGTCCAGGTTTTTTTCAGTTCAGATTCCCTTGGTCTGCATCTAAGCTCCACCAGTATGTACCATGTGGCCTTGGGTGAGCCTCATAACCTTGCCAAGCCTCAGTTACAAGGATTCCATGAGATAATCCAGCACACAATAGGTGTTCATTGAATGTTAACCATGTTTTGCCTCTAAAAAGGCTCACTCCCCTGTACCATTGACCCATTGGTCCTCATCTTTCTTTACCAAGTCAGGCTTAGTCCAACCTGAGCTGGGCACAAAGGTCAATACTGGTGGGGAATGAGTCACATGGGACACCTCAGCTGCAGCTCGACCTCCTGGACTGGCAGCTGAGCAGCAGGTGCCACCAGCATGAGGCAGGTTCAGAGGTGCTTCTGTCTGGTCTGCTTTCCCGGCTGTACCCTCTCTGGGAGATCCCATTCCACCTCAGCTTATTCAAGAGTGGCCATCAGGAGACAATGAATTCACAGACATGCACAGAACTTGTCTCTGAGCTAAGAGACGCCGGTACCTGCCCTGGGTATGTGCACTCACCCCTACATGGAGGGTGTGGCTGCCTTCTGGCATGGCTTGGATGTACAACTGCCCTGAGTGAGCATAAGTCTGGGGCCAACTTCATTTCTCTCTGCAGATAATTTCCATAGGGTGTGGGGCAAAAGCAAGAGCCTCATGCCCTGGTTGCCAAAGGAAAGAGCACAGTGTCTTCCAGACAGTCTCCATAGTCAGGGGTCAGCAGGCACAAAGGACCAAATGGTCTTGGCAAATCACATCCCTCTCTGATTCTCAGTCTTCTCAAATGGCTCACAGCCTCCAGGAGCTGGGCATCCCCTGTCTGCCCACACAGAGTTAGGCTCAGAGGCAAGAGTGGATGCCTCAGGTTCAACTAGGGATAGGCCTAACTAGGGGAAGCAAGTTACACAGACTCATGGATTCACCTTGGCATCTTGCCAGTCCTCCCAGGTCATCACAAAGGTCCTATTGTTGCAAGACAGATCTGAGCTGGAAACTGGAAAGATGCTTTGGGATGGAGAGACCTGGGGAAGGGTTCAGACTGATATGCTGAGTCAGGGTACCCACCCAGCCCAGTGGCCAGGGACTGGAGCCCAGGGGTTCACACACCCAACCTGCTCTGGACCAATGAGAAGTATAGGCTCAGCCTACTTCTGAAGGCCATTCTCAGCTGCACAGTCAAGACTCCTCCTTCCCCACCGTGCTGGCTAATGGTGCTGGTTAGTGTTGACCGTCTACTTGACATAGTCTAGAATCACCTGGAGATGGGCCTCTGGGCATACCTGTGGGGGATTATCTTGATTATGTTAATTGATGAGCGGAAAAACCATCTAAATTGTGGGTGGGACCATTTCCTGCACAGGGGATCCTAGACTGTCTGAAATAGAGAAAGTGAGCTGAACACTAGTATCCATCACTCTGCTTTTTGATTGTGAATGTGATGTGACCAGTTGCTTCTTGATCCAGTGGCCACGACTTCCCTGTCATGATGAACTAACTATATGCTTGACCTGTGAGTGAGATCAATGCTTTCTCCATTAAGTTGCTTTTGTCAGGGTATTTTGTCACAACAGGAAAATAAACTAAGACACTCCCTACTGCTGGTTGCTCTCTGGGCCTAGGTCTGTAGGTCAAGAGCAGTGTTCTTTCCCCAGGGACATCTAGGCCAGCAAGCCACCAAGAGGTCCCCTGAGGCCCAGACTGGATGGCTAAAAGGGCACAGGCACTTTGGGAGGGACCAAGTCCCAGACCCTAGGCCCCAGGCCCCAGGGCACACGCTGTAGGCCAGTTTCTTGGGGCTCACACACCTGAGTGCTCTTGGCTCAGCACCATGGGCCTCTCTGCCAGCACCTTCTGACTTCCTGTGACTCAATGGCCCTGTGCTCACCCAAAGTGGAAAGGGATTCAGCCAATCTATTTCAGCATTCTCAGGGTCAAAGACCTGATACCACATCCTAGGCTAGAATCTGATCCTCACTGTGCCCTTTGCCTGCAGGGTAAGGAACAGGCTGAGAAAGAAGAGGAAAGGACACAGTAACCCCTCTCCATCCACAGTGCCCAGTCCCCTTGGCACCTTCTAATCACCTTAATCCCCTCCCCACATCACCAACATCAGGTCTCAGAAGAAACTGAGATGGATATGGCTATTGGGGACAAGTCTGGGTACTTGAAGACTCAGGTGCTGATTCCCAGCTCTACCATTGCTGTTCGTTATGCCCTGGGTAGGTCTTTACCTTATTGGGCCTGTGGTTTCTTAGTCATAAAAAGGAATTAGCAATGTCTAAGTCACAGGATTCAGACAACTTACATTTTAAAGGAAAACAAAATATTTTTGTTTTGTATTGTTCCATTTTTGAGACAGGGTCTTTTCTCTCTCTCTCTCTCTCTCTCTTGTCTTTTTGAGATGGGGTTTCCTTGTAGCTCCAGCTGGCCTGGAACTCTCTATGTAGACCAGGCTGGCCTTAAACTCACAGAGCCGGTCTATATAGAGTGATTCTTTCTCTCTCTCTCTCTCTCTCTCTCTCTCTCTCTCTCTCTCTCTCTCTCTCTCTCTCTTGTCTTTTTGAGATGGGGTTTCCTTGTAGCTCCAGCTGGCCTGGAACTCTCTATGTAGACCAGGCTGGCCTTAAACTCACAGAGATCCACCTGCCTCTGCCTCCCGAGTGCTAGGATTAAAAGCATGAGCCACCACGCCTGGCAAGACAGGGTTTTTTTCATGTCTCCATATGTGGTTCTCCTGTTTCAGTCTTCTGAGTGTCAAGATTGTGGGCACATACTACCACACCCAGCACAGAAAACAGTCTTAAGTCAAAGGAGTGAGTCTCTAATATCAATATCAAGTCTCGGCCATAGATAAAAAGTTCTGAGGGCAGGGCCAGGCCCCTTTCTCAGGCTGAGATTTCACACAATGGGGCTGCATACTTCCACCTAATTGGATGCTCCTGTCCAGAGCCCTGTTTCTGAATGAATGCTACCTCTTGTCTCTGGCTGGACTGTCTGAGGCACACCACAGTGTTTGGGAGGGAGAAGACTGTAAGCTCCTCCATGAACCAGCTGCTATATACATGCAGTGTACTGTCAACTTGTCTCCGCACTCTAAGATATCAGTATCTTGTCTTCCTTGACAGAGAGTAAACTGAGACTCCAAAGTGTTACATCTCGATACAGGACATATGAGTCAGTGTCAAAGGTATTAGCTATTTATTTTCTTATGTATGTGTTCATGTGTGTGCAGGTTCATTTGTGTGAATGTACATGCCTGTGGAGGGCAGAGATCAATAGCAGGAGCTGTTCACTTTGTTTTATGTAACAGGGTCTCTCAGTGAGTGTGCCCTGGGACATGAGTAGGCTAGGCTGGCTGACCAGTGAGCCCCAGGGATCTGCCTGTCTCCACCTTTCCACCACCCTCCTTCCCCCAACCCCAATGCTGGGGCTACAAACAAGATCCATTACACCCAGCTTTTTGCATGGGTATTGGGAATTGAACTCGGGTCCTCATGCTTGTAGGGCAAGCATTTTGCTGACCGAGCTATCCCCACCTAGGATTTCTTGGTTCCAAAGTCCCTAATTCTAGGAAATATTCCCTAATGCTGCCCATCTGGGCTGTGTTTTTCAGTGCTAACTCAGGAGATATCTTAGTCCCAAGAAGCCCAAGGCTCCTCCTGGGCATCTATCTGCCCCACAGTGCTCCTCTGCACCCTCATCTTCCTTGTGACTGGCTTCCCCATACCTTTCTGCTTTTAGGTATACACAGCCAGGGGCTGTTTAGGGGTCGGATATCACCCAGCCAGGAGCCCAGCTCTTGCTCCAGGATGTTATCAATGGGTCCAGAGGGCAAGGTGAGGTACATGGGAGGAGGGAGAGGTAAAGTCTTTGGGGTTAGCATGCCTTTGTCCTTCTCTCACCAACCCCTGCCCAGGTTCAGCCCCAGAGGTTGCTGGGGGCACAGCTGTGGGATGGAAGGCAGAGGTGGAGGTCTAGGGGGCCATTTGACCATCGTTCTGTGCCTTCACCTCAGGTACCCTTGTCCAGGGGCTCTTCAGTGGTTTCTCTGAAGAAGCCTGCCACAGCTTCTGAGTGGTCATCTGAAATTTGTAGGCAAGATATGGACCTGGAAAAATCAAGTGTGAAGGACTAAACTGACCCCAAGGCCTGAGGCTTGTCCCCTAAGCTTTCCTCCTTCTCACCAGCCTCTTCCAGGGAAGTGATTCTTGGGAAGGAATGCTGTCCCCAGGCTCACTCCAATAGCTGAGCCCATGGCTGGCTGTACAGGTGGCAGGCAAACAGTGTGGGTACTCTGAGAGATTTCCCAACTCTTTTGGCAGCTGGCTGCACTGGCCTCCCTGCCTCAGGCCCTGGTCTGAACTGCTCAGCAACTGACCTTTGCCCGGCTCACTAGGTCCTCTGTGCCTGGTGTCCCATCCTGGGGACAATATAAAACAGGTCAGAACACTCTTGCCTGCCTGCTCCGTTCATCCTTAGAAGCAGCTACTCCAGGTAATGCCTCGGGGGCCAGGGGGGGGTGCAGAGAGCTGGAGAAGGCTCCCACCACCCAGCCAGTCTACAGAAGGCTTGGGATCCATGACTGTCCCCAACCCTCCTTTGTTGGGCAGGGGCAGAGGCTGAGGAAGGGGAGGCCACTTAGCCAAAACCACACACACAAGGGGCAGTGGCAGAATGGGGACTGGAACTGGCTCCCATTCTGCACACTGTCCCTTGTTCTGCATACTCACAACTAATGGAAGCTTTTGACATCCCTGTCCTACCTGAGGTAGGAAAACTAAGACCTGGAGAGGGAGGAGAGGGACAGAAACCTTGTGTCACTCAGCACATCAGGGCAGGGAATGGGCAGATATCCTCAGTCTCATTCTGTGGGGGACTTCTGCTGCACCCCACCTTCTGTCCCACTCTGGGGCCTAGGTCTCCTGTAGTCCCCTTTCTGAGAGCCAATATTAGCAGGAGAGAGACTCAAAATTTACTTCAGGGGCTGCAACATTCTCCAGGGAAGAGTCCAGATGTGGGGGGCCCCAGATAGTACTTCCTCACAAGACAGTCTCCTGCAGGAACAGAGGCACCATGCAGCCCCGGATGCTCCTCATCATAGCCCTCCTGGCCCTCCTGGCCTCTGCCCGTAAGCATTTTGTGGGGATAGAGCTGGGGTCCCTGTGGAAGGTGATCTGGGGACTCTGTCCTGATGGGTAGTGGGCCTGACAGGAGCTGAGGGCTAGCATTCTCAATTCTTCTCTCTCTTTCTCTCAGGAGCCAGTGAGGTGGAGGAACCCAAGCTACTAGGCTCTGTGCAGGGCTATATGAAGCAGGCTGCTAAGACTGTTCACGACGCTCTAACCAGTGTGCAGAAGTCCGAGATGGCCCAGCAGGCCAGGTATACCCATTAACTCTCTTTTCTTGTCCTCTGTGCTGACTCCCTTCAACCCCCACCCATGCCCTGGTGCTGAGACTCTGACACTGAGACTGTGGCTGCCACTCTCAGCCCTCTGGTCCCTCCCAGGGCCTTTGCTGGGTTTTACAGGTGAGGGGACAGGTGAAGACTCTGTCTCCCTTGCTTCTCCCCAGAACAGCCCCAAGATGCATTTAGCTTCAAATTTCTTCTCTGAGCAAGAAGCTCAAGATTTCTTCCTGCTTTGGGAGGCCCACCTGCCCCAATTTCAGCCACCACTGGGTTTACAGCTCTACCCCCTTTCCAGCCCCATGGCCAGTCTTATTTGATATCTGCCCACCTTGAATCCTCACCTACTCACCCTCAGCCCCCAAAAGGTGTTGACAAACATTCTTTGTCCCCAGAACCGACCACAGAGAGGGTATTACTTCTCCCACTTTGTAGAGTAAAAAAATTGTGGCTCACAGCAATTAGGTTACCTGGCCCAGCTATGAGTCCTCTAGTAATTTTTCCAAATGAGAGACTGCCCCCTTCTGCCCCAGCCATTCAGAGCCACCAGGTGGGACACCTCCAGGGATACTATCAGAATGGATTGCAAAGGCCACCTGACTCTATACAACATCCCACCCACTACTTGGTGCCTCAAGCCTGAAAGAAGTTTCAAGGGGCAGCCTTGAAGGTCTAACCCAACCTACCTTCTCATCTCTTTGGCCCTGGGTGGTAGTAACAGGTGGTGTTTGTCTGAGGTTCTGGGGTGTTGCTGAGTGAGGTGGAGCCAGTGGGTGAGACTGCCAGTGGACACCTGGGTTAGGACTGGATCTAGCTGTCTACCAAGGAGTTTCTCACACCCACCTCTGTCACTGCCTCTTCCTGATTAATCCCTAGGGACTGGGTGGACGATGGCCTCAGCTCCCTGAAAGACTATTGGAGCACCTTTACACACAAGTTCTCCGGGCTCTGGGATTCCACCCCTGAGGTCAAATCAACCCCAGCCCCCGAGGTTTGAGATCTCCACCCTCCAAGTGTCCCTGCTGGTTCCCGGGGTCCCGCAGACTGTAGCCTAGAGGGTGGCCCCTGAAGGTCACTTGAAAGGAAAAGTTCTTGTGTCTCCAACCCTCCCCAGAACCTGGCCCAAACATGCTGCCTCTTAATAAAGCTGGATGAGAAGCTGCTATAAGTGCGGTATGCCATGTGCCCGGGCAGCCTCTGGGATGTGTCTTTCTCTACTTACCTGCCTGCCTTGATGGGATCAAATCAGATAGATTCTCAATGTAGTCTGTGACATGTGACTTAAGTGTGAGCTCTGTGCAGCTGGCACTTTTATGTCATTTTCAGAGGTAAGGTCCTGTGTGGTCACCAAAGCTGAGCAGCTGGCTTGCCTGGCATCTGGTCTCTTTCAACACACTCAAGGGAAGGAAGCAGATGGAATTCTGGGTGGAGTAGTCAGAGCTGCCTCCGTTTCTTGTGTAAAGTGGGTATAATAATGCCCCACCACTGCAGGTCTACCATGAAAATGAAATGTTAGTGTCTAAAAACATCTAGAACAGCATCTGCATGCCCAAGGTGCCTGGTAAACTTTATCACTGTGATAGATAAACTGATTGGCCTCTTAGACTGGAATGGTCATGCAGGATTCTCAGAACCCCATCAGGGTTGTTCACTGTGTTCCTACCACCCAAAAACACTTACTTTATTCTACAGACTCCGACCCCCATTCTATGGAGTAAAAGATCCGAGGTTCAGAGAGGTGATAGCAATTGCCCTGTGTCAAGAGCCGACACATGGCAGGGCCAGACCTTGAGCTCAGGACAGCTGTCTGTTCCAGTCATCTGACATGGGAAAAAGCTGTGCTACTCCTGTGCCAGGTGTGGGGGCCATTTTCTAGATCTTGGCAGCACTGGTGCTACCAGCCCCACCTGCACTGTGTTCTGTCCAGACGCCCACCAGGAACTGGCGATCTCAGGGTCCATATCTGAGTATTCCTACTCAATCCTGGCCCAACACCTGTTGTAGCTCTACGTGATTAGGAACTAAAAACCCACCCTTCATTCAGGGGTCATGAAAAGGGGCCTTGCAGGAGGAGAAAGGGATTCTTTGGATCTGTGAAGACATTTGCATGCCCATGGGGACATACCAACAAGAGTATGAAGAGGGCTGGGCTGAGAGCAAGAACACTAGTCTGTTCATGCTTGCCCAACTTCATGAACATGAGAACTTGCTTATACTTTTTTGTTTTGTTTTGTGGTGGGTACCCATGGCGAGTGGGTCTAAAGTGGGTCTGAAATGAACCACCCAGGCTGGGGTAGAGTACTTGACTAGGTAGGCATACACAAAGCTCTGGGTTTGATCTCCAAGACTTCACAAACCTGGTCTAGTGGAGCATGCCAACAATCCCTGCACTTAGGAGATGGAGACAGAAAGATAAGAAGTTAAAGATCATCCTTGGCTGCATAGTGAGTTCAAGGCCAGCCTGAGTTACTTGAGACACTGATAAATAAACAGGGGCTGGCAATATAGCTCAGCTGGTAGAGGCACTTTCTGCCAAGTCTGATTGCTTGAGTTTGATCCCTGAGACCCACATGGTGGAAATAGAGAACTGATTTCTGCAAGTTGTCTTCTGACCTCCACATGCATGTTGTGGCACATGCACACTCATACACATACATACACATACAAAAGAAATGTAATGAAATTTTAAGTATTTTAAATTACACTTAGTTCTGTGTGCATGGTGGTGGCAGAGGGGTTCCTGAGGATTGAACCCACGTCATCGGATTTAGCAACAAGGACCTCCACCTGCACCATCTTGCCCATACAATATAATAAAAAATTTAAAAGAATAAATAAAAATACATCCAACAATACATCCCATCCTCCCTTTCTCTCAGTGAGTAACTTCACACTGCCCAGCTTCAGCTTCCTGGGGTGACATGGACCTATTGGAATCTACTATGGATTTTGGGAAGGATTCAATGACATATGGATCTGAAGGGTCTCCAAAATAAAAACGTACTGATCACCAGCACGAGATGTTTCTGACTCCAGCCAGAGCAGGCAGTAAAGAGGGCCTGCAGTGGCAGAGTGATGTGGGTGGGACAGCTGCCTTCCACTGCTGTGCCAGTTTCTGGTGCGGAGATAATTGGAAGGGTGTCCTGCCCTTGGAAAAAGAATAGAGAATGTTTGCTGAGAAGTTTTGGGTGAGGGAGGAAGGGCCAGCTCCTGGCACTTTATTAGCACCTGCCAAATTAACTTAACTCTCAAAGCCTCCTGGGAAACCCTGGTTCTAGGGGCCGGAAGAGGTGTTTATCCTCTGCCCAGGTGGACCGCTTCTGGCATCAGGCACCTCGTCTCTCAAAACCAGCTCCACACCCACCCCCTACCCCCGCCCCCGCAGGACTACAGCACTTATGGTTGGAACCTGTGTAGGGCACCTAGCAAGGGGTTACCTGTCGCTTCACCTGGCGTTCTATTACCCTCTTTCCCTCTGAGCCTTCTTAGAATAGGGACTCTGCCTCACCCTCCTAACCACCCAGGCACCCAGCTTGGGCTTGGAGATGTTCAGCTCCTTCGGGAAGAAGTTTCCGCTGCAGCTCCACACGCCCTGTCCCTGAATGCACCCCCTCCATCCCCCAAAAGAAGGAAGTTGCATCCCACTTTGGAAAAGTTTATTGTAAGAAAGGCAACTCAGGGGAGGGGAGCAGCGGCGGGCGCCTCACTGAGTGTTCAGCTTCTGGGTGGCCTCATCCAAGACACTCAAGGCTTTGGCCTTGAGGGACTCCAGCCAGGGCATCAGGCCCTGGCGCAGGTCCTCCAGCGTGGGCTTGGTCTTCTCGCCAAGTTTCTTCAGATGCTCGGTGGCCCTGGCGTGGTACTCGGCCAGCTTGGGGTTGTCCCTGAGAGCGGTGAGGCGTTCGGCCAGACGGTCGCGCATCTGGTCGCTGTAGGGCGCCAGCTTTGTGCGCAGCGCGTCCACGTGCAAGCGTGCGCGGTCACGAAGGTCCTCCCCCAGTGGGACCAGCTGCTTCTGCAGCTCCTCCAGCTTCTGGCGCGCGCCTTCGCGCAGCTGGGCGCCCAGAGGCTCCACCTTCGGGCGGTAGCGTTCCACCTCCTCCTCCCACTTCTTCTGGAATTCGTCCAGATAGGGCTGCACTTTCTGCTTTACCTCCTCCAGGTCCTTGTTCATCTCTTGCCTCAGCCAATCAGTGTCTTTCTCCAGGCTATCCCAGAACTCCCGGGTCACTGGGCCCAGCTGTTCCTGCAGACGACCGAAGGTCGAGCCAAAGGTGTCCCAGTTTTCCAGGAGGTTAAGGCTGAAGTGGGAGAGAAAGGGGATGAGAAGTGGCCACCTAGGCGCCCTGAACTCCCGCAGATCTGCAGGCCCATGCACATGGGGTCAGACCCGGGTGTCATCAACCCTGACTATGCAGTAGCTGCAGTCTTGTTTTCCCATTGTCCATCTAATGCTCCCCACACGTTCCTCCGTACAAATGGCCTGAGGCACCAAGAAGGCAGAGGTGGGGTTGGTGTGCGGTTAGTTGCACGGCCAGTCTGTTCTCTGTGATGGCGGCCTATACTGGGAGATGTGAAGGGGCTTGCTGCACTGGCACGCGGAATGCCGAGCCGTGGTTAACCATCAACCCAGACCCCTTTGCTGGGGACTGGGGCCCTGCCTGAGAGACCCATCCCTACTCCTCCATCGGAACCTGCCATGGTTGAATGGCAGGTGAAGACTTCGGTCGCTGCATCTTCCTACAGGCTTCTCTGTTCACCCGGGCTGGTTAGCCCTTGCCCTACTCCAGGCCCCAGGCTGGGTCCTTACTTCAGCTGTTTGCCCAGAGCGGAGGTTTCAAACTGGGACACATATTCTCTGCCGCTGTCTTTGACCGCATCCACGTACACAGTGGCGAAATCCTTCACTCGGTCCCATGGGGATTGGGGCTCATCTTGCTGCCAGAAATGCCGAGCCTGGCTCCCTGTGGGGTGGAAGGGAGACCCAGATCAGGCCAGCGCTGGACTGGGGTCTGACTTGAAATACTAGACTTGGAGTCGGGGAGGCGGCAAGTGAGAATTCTGTTCCCTGTACCCAGAAAGGTACAGGAAACAGGAAACAGGAGAAGTTCCATCTGCCCCTGTGCACAGCTCCCTAGGGTGGGGGCACCTACCGGTCAGGAAGAGCACAGCCACAGCCAGCACCACCGCTTTCATCCTCAAAGTCTTGGGGGACCTGCAGGAGAAGAGGGGCCAGGTTGAAGTGGGGCTCCATCATGCAGAAGTCCCACACTTTCTCCACCAAATTCCAGCCCAAGGAGGTGGAAGAGTCTAGAGTGGGAAAAAGTGTCAGGTATCCAGAGTGCTGGCCTGGGTGGAGTAGAGCATCAACTGCATGGCACTAGGGAGCCAGAGTAGCCTGGGGCAGGTAGCAGCGCTTACCTCCCTAGAACTAACTCGTCAGCAGTCTCTGAGCATCCAGCTCTCCTTCCCTGGCCTATTTATGTCTACAGGCAGGGGCTGGGTTGGAAGGCTGATAAGGCCAGCCCTGGCCCTGTCACTGCTCACTTGTCCTGACAATGTGGAACTAGAGTTCAAGGATCAGCTCTGTCCCAGAGGCCGGGCAAACAGAGTGGGCAAACAGGAAGCTGCGGGGGCTGCAGAACAGAGATCAAGGGTTCAGGTGGGGGCATCAGGGGAGTAGTTTCGGGCTCAGGGGGTCCCCAAGGTTGAAACAGCAGCACCTATCCTCTTCCCCTGCTCTGTGGGAGTGTGTGTGCAAGCCATTGTCCCCTGAGCTTAGAGCAGGGAGACAGAAGGGACCTGTGGACTTCTGCACTCAGATTCCCTCCCTCAAGTCTTCTTGCATTCCAAGGAGCCGATCTTATCACCTCACCCTGGTCTGCCAGTCATGCCTCTCTCCAGTCTCCACAGGCCTCCCACCCCTAAGTCCAAGGACAGCTATGGAGCCAGGGAGTTGGCGGGGGGGGTGGTGCACAGAGGCTCAGGGCCCCAGTACAATCCTCTCTGAAGACTCTACAGAGGGAAATATGGAGTTGCCTGCTCATCCCTCCTACCTTCCCTTCATTTTTATCTCCCTCCCTCCCTTTTGGAGTCAAGGCCCTACTGTGCAGCCCAAACTGACCTCCCAACTCAAGATCCTCTTGCTTTAGCCTCCGAAGTGTTGGGATATGCCTCCAGGCCTAGCTTAAAAAGTTGTGTGTGGTTGTGGTGCATGCCTTTAATCACAGCACTGGGATGCAAAGGCAAGCAGATCTCTGTGAGTTTGAGGCCAGCCTTGTCTATATAGAGAGTTCCAGACCAGACAAGACTGCATAATGAGACCCTGTCTCAAAACAAAACAAAACAAAACCGAACAAAACACCAAAACCCGTGTGTGTGTATGTGTGTGTGTGTGTGTGTGTGTGTGTGTGTGTGTGTGTGTGTGTGTGTGAGTGGGCGGGGGTTGGGGGGGGGGAAGGAGCAAGGGATTTGCACAAGTTTTTGTGTGTGTGTGTGTGTGTGTGTGTGTGTGTGTGTGTGTGTGTTCGTGTGGTGGGATGGGGATGGGGATGGAAACCAGGGCTTTGTACATACTAAGCAAGCTCTCTCTCTCCATGCTAAACAAGAACTATCATGGAGCAATATCCAAGCCCTTAGAGCTGCCAACTTTTTGTCATATGATGGTACTGCTGCCTTCCCTTCCAAAGACACGCTTACCATATACTATGACCACCAAAAAGAGCTAATGTAGCTCTGTGGTAGAGCCCCGCACAGTGAGGGCCTAGGTTCAATCCCCAGTACAGGGGAACTGGGGAGATGGATGTGGTAGCCCATGCCTGTAATTTCAGCACTTGAAAGTCTGAGGCAGGAGAACTGTTGTGAGTTAGAGTCCAACCTGGACTATATATAGCCAGACCCTGTCTTGAAACAAAACAAACAAAAACATCCCAAATCATAGCTGGAGAGGTAGCTCAGTTGGTAGAGTGCTTGCTTAGCATACATAAGCCCTGAGTTTGATCTCCGGCACCACATAACTGGGCTTGGAGGTGCATGGCTGTAATCCCAGCACTGGGGAAGTGGAGGCAGGAGGATCAGGAATTCAAAGCCATCCTCAGCTATGTGGTACATTCTAGACCTCAGAGTGATGAGACCTTGTCTCAAAAACAGACAAAATCTACCCCCAACTTTTAAACTCCCAAACAGGAATGATTTCAGAATTAAAGCACAGAATTTCTGTTGCTTGTATCTTGTGAGGTTGTATTTACATCTGATCACACAGAGAAGATAGGTGGAACCCTTAGCTCCCAGGTAAGGAGAGGGACCCCTGGGCTTGAAGGTGGTGGGAGACCTGGTTCTATTTCATTTTGCTTTATCTCATGAGCCAGTTGTGAAACCTTTTTGAGCTTCAGTTTCCTGTCTGCAAGATAGGCTCTAGACAGGGCATGGCAGGTATAGTCATGGACTGTGGTACATGCCTGTCATCCCTGCTACTTGGGAGATGCAGGCCAGAGAATCAACAGTTCAAGACCAGCTTTGGCTGCATAGCAAGTGTGAGGACAGCTTGGGCTATGTGAGGCAGTCTCAGAAAACCCAGATCACCCACAAAACCTTGTCATGGAATCTGTGAATTTCCAAGCTAAAAATAACTTTTGAGATCAGCTACTCAGGCCTCTCCAATGGGCTACCTTCCAGAAGAAGAAGACAGTGGAAGGAATTTCCTCAACGTCCCTCATCTCTCAGAGTTTTAGAGGCAGGGCTGGACCTTGAACCCAGGCCTCTGCACTTGGGACCCATTGTTTTGCTCCATCTCCCCAGGAAACTCCCTAACTCTCTAGAAACCAGCCTGGTGTTTCTCTCTGCCAGATCAGGGAGTGGCTGGGCTCCAGGCCGCTCCCACCCCAGGAGGCTTTGGAATCAGAGATCCTTGGTTTGAACCTGGGCTCTGCTGCTTATTCTCCAGATGACCCTGGGTACATTACATAACCTCCCCACCTGTGTTTCTTATCTGATAAAGGAAGATAATGATAGAACATGCCATCCTTTCACTATGATCAGGGTCAGTGTGTGGGAGGCTGAATGATGAGCTGGTAAAGATGTATGTATACTTCCCTAATGCCTGGAACCTGTGCCCATTACCTCACATGACAAATGTAATGAGCTGGGGGTAGCCTGGGATATCCGGTGGGGGGATAGTAATCATAAGGGTCCCTCACTATGCAAGAGGAGGCTGGCCAGCCAGAGGGAGCCATAAGGATAGAAACAAAGGCAGAGCAACTGTGACTTCTTGAAGGGACCACAAGCCAAGGGGTACTGGTGCAGCCACAGATGCTGTAGGAAGCAACAAAGCAAGATCCCCGGAGCTTTCAGAAGGAATGCCAGTCTGCTGATCCCATGGTTTCAGACTAGAGTAACCTACTTTGAACTAGAGCTCTAAGATAATAAATCTGTATTGTGCTAACCATGAAATGTGAGTGTGTATGCAAAACTGTTAGGAAGGTAACTAGCAGTTAGTAAACAGCAATGGTTCTCTGTGTCCCAGAATCCCAGTTTCTGAGTTCCATGCTCTTATTGCCATGAACACACTGGCATTGCTAGGGCACAGCCCGTGACCCCAGCTGCTGGCAGAAGTGGGGCGAGGCAGGTGCCTGGCACAGGTGCTGCGATGCAGGGCATCTTTTCCAGGATGAAACCAACCCCAACTGTTTGTGGGAGCATAGGGGGGTGGCCTGACATTGCTTTAGCGATGGGGAGGGGGTTGTCTGAGGGAGTAGCTCCCTGGTTGTTAGGTCAACCTTTCTTTTGGGGCCTGAGGCTCTCCAGCCAGCATGTGGGGATCTGAGCAGGTTATGGCTGAGCTCCAGGCTACTTGTCACTACTTTTCTCTTTGGTTCACTACTAAAATTATCATGACTAAACCTAACTTAACTATTTGGCTAAACTAATTAACATTCTCACAGTTCTTTAGCTGTCAAGGCACTTTGGTAGTTAGCTTGTTGCATCTCTGTAAGGCTGGAGTTCATATTTTTCTCATTATTTTGCCTGTCAGGAAACTGCAGTTCAGGGGTTGGACAGATGGCTCATCAGTGAAGAGCACTAGCTGTTTTTCCAGAGGACCTGTTTTGGGTGCCCAGCACCCACATCAGAAGACTTAGGTTTGGTTCCCAGCACCCACATGGCAACTAACAACCATTTGTAACATAACTCCAGTCCCAGGGGATCTGATGCCCTCTTTTGGCTTCTGCGGGAACTGCATGTACAGGTCCACATGTATACACGGAGTTCATACGCATAAGAATTTTTAAATAAACAAAATAAAAAGCAGAACCGCTGAGAGCTGCCTTGTCCTTCAGCTGTTCAAGGTGAGTGCTGGCAGGGCTGGGAATCGGGTCTGGCTTCTAGAACTTGCTATGTAGACCAAGTTCTCCAGCAAAAGCTTGCATACTCTCTTCAGCGATTCCAAGGTACCAGAGTGGGGGAGTGAGGGTTAGCATGTTTCTGAGCAGAAAGTTCCTCTTTTTTAAAGGTTTTCTTCTCCACCTCCTGCCCCCTTTTAAAGACAAGACTCAGTATATACCCCAGGTTGGCCTCAAACTTTCAGTAATCCTCTTGCCTCAGCTTTCCATACTGGGCTTACAAGTGTATGCCGTCATACCCAGCTTCCTCCACTCCTCTCTCCCCTCCCCTACCACATACTTACTTGTTAGTGTTAGTGCCACTTTATCATAAGACATTTAGCTTAAAATAGTCTAAACAACTCTTTACAGGAAGACTTTCAGAACAGTCTGGGGGAAACTAACAATAAATTGGGCTCACTGCAGATTGAGACCTGCGTCTGGTCACTGTGAGAGGTGTCAGGTGCCTGCGGTTAGATGATTGAGTGGAGATAGGGCCCATCATTATACCCTTATTCCCATCACCCTTCCTCTCTCATGTTGGGACTCTCTAAAGTGACGCCTTCTGAACTGGGTCACCAAGCATTGGCCTGGGCTCCCCTGACACTTGTGGGTGCTCTAGCAGCCTCATGCATACATGAGTGGATGTTGCCCATGGTGGTAGGACCCCATTTCACAACTTCTGTCTGCACAGGCTGAGGACTCTGGCCCTTGCTGGGCCTGGCACCTCACAGAGAGTCACCAAACATTTGCTGGATGAATGACTGGTACATTGAAGGCTCTCCAGACTGGCAAAAGGTCATATGAACATTTGTGCCAGCCCCTGCTTGGAATATTCACTCAGGGCAGGATGCCAGTCAGGAAGGGGGAGATGGGGCTGAGGAAGGTCACCCTGAGCAGGAACTAGACCCTGGTGTTTTCTACTTGACGGTTTTGTTGCAGCTCTTGTAGTAGTGCTCCTAGGGCAAGAAGGGCACTGTGACCAACTCCACATTACCCTTCTACCTCCCGCTCAAGAGACTGAGGCCTGGAGTCTAACTCTATGGTGGGAGTGTGTGGGGCCTGGTGCCAGCACAAACTCTGAAAGGCTCCTACTTCTCAGAACCCAAGGATGTCCAGGTCTAGATTCAAGAGGTATGTCTTGATTCCTCTGGACACCCACCCTACCTCTAGCCAAAAGTACCTGGTGATTTTGTGGGAGCAGCAACTATGGTGAAATATGTAATGAGTTCTTGGGAGTCTTTTGGGTGCAGTACTGGTTCCAGACCCACCTTGACACTAACAGGAATGTGCACAGCTTGGGGACTTCCAGGGACCCATCTGAGAAGGTCCCCTCTGTTCTGAGCAGTCCATGGTGATTCAGGGACTCCAGGGCTTTCCTGTGTCCTCCCCCTTGTCTCCCCCCCTTTTTTTAAAGACAGGATTTCCCTGTTGCCCCAGCTGGCTTAGAACTTGCTGTGTAGACCAGGCTGGATAACACAGAGATCCGTTTGCCTCTGCCTCCCAAATGCTGGGATTAAAGGCATGCACCCCCATGCCCAGCCCTACTCTTTAAATAGATGATAGATGATAGATAGGTAGATAGATAGATAGATAGATAGATAGATAGATAGATAGATAGATGATAAAATATATAATGCATGTCTGTGGCATCTGTGCAGAGACTTCTCTAGCCACCTTGTGTCTACTCCTCCAGAGGTGGTGTTGGATACTTTGGAACTAGAGTTCCAGGTAGTTGTGAGCCACCTGACAGAGTGCTCTTAAGCACTGAGCTATCTTTCCAGGCCCCCTCACTCTTTCTTTAAGCTCAGTATTCCTCAAAGCTTTCTTCACGAGACTTCAGTTCTCTCTTAGCTGTGCCTAGGATGCAAGAAATCCTGCCCTGCCCACTGGAGTCCAGGAATGGACAAGGAAAATGATAGGAACAGGTCTCCTTTCTGTCCTACACTTACTTGGGTACCACATCAGGCTTGTGGAGTCACTCCATAAAGGTTCCAGTCAGTGCCACCTTAAGACTTTCCTTCCCATCCCTCCTTCACTAGAAACCCAAGGAATCAATTTCCCATCCAACTCTGCAAACACAGCTGTGCCTGAAGGGTAGAGTTCACATGAATGCCTGGAACACATCAGGAGGGTGACCTGCCAGGTTCAGAAGACAGTGAGCTGCTGGAAGTCCCACCTTAAGCCTGGAGACTTCTTTGCCACCTTGTGTCTACTCCTCGACCCCCACCCTGTGTGCATCTCCCAACTAGACTCTGAACTGCAAAGCAAACAACACTTTGGCATTAGAACATAATCAGGTTTTTATTTCTACAACCTCCTACTGTCTAACCAAGTTACTAAGTAGTAAATGTCCCACACAAACAAGGACAAAAGGTCTTAGCAACTTGAGTCTGGAGATTTTCTTTTAAATTCTTTTTTTTAGTTCAACAGAAATGAGAAAGAAAAAAAATACTGACATTTTCAAAGAACAGAAAAAGGAAAGTATATTCATATTCATTCAACATATACTGCACATATTGGTTACTACAATACAAAGCAATGGTGGTTTTCAAAGTAGTTTGCAAGATGGCATGGTTAACAGCTCACTGGCTTCCATCTGGGTGGCTCTGGAGGGTAGTGTCTGCTCTTCCATCAATCCAGTACCATGTAAACAGGTCAGGCTGAGCTTGGGGAGCAGCAGGGTGGGTCCCAGGTGTCCGGCTTGGATAGAGCTCAGGGATGCCAACAATGGCTCTTGGGGCTTTCTTAGGAAGTAAGCTCCCTTCTGGTAGGTAACTGGTGACTCCACCTAGGAGAGGGGTGAATGAAGGCCATGGAAACATGGGATGGGTCCCCAGCAAGGTTCTTGCACTGAAAAAAATCTACTCAAGGACGGTGGGCTCAGGAGCTGAGCTGCAGGTGTCAGTAGAGGACGATGAGCTGTGGGGACCCTGCCAGGCCATCTGGATGCCTTGACTGGCAACTGCTTTCTTCTGTGCAAATTCAGAGGCTGGGCTCCCAGAAAAGAGGGCTGACAGAATGTGTAGGGTCTCTCTCTGGTTTTGAAGACCAGACCCTCACTCAGCCCCCAGACTGCAGAGAAGACTTTGGTTTCCAGCAGCAGAGAGAAAGAAAGGTGACATCAACACTAGCTATTGCGTATGCGCTGCTTCAGCAGGGGAAAGGAGGCCACTGCATGTGTCACTGGCACAAGGGAGAGCAGCTCACAAAACAATGCCAAAGAAAACGCTCAGAGCAAAAGGCGCAAGACACATCCAAACAGAACAGAATCCGGTTAAACATTTCTCTTTTAAACAAAAATTCCTTTTGTCTTTATTAAAATAATAATAACAATAATATCAACATTTATCAGAAACAATTCCTACATGATCAAGAATTAAATTTAGGGGCTGAGGGTGCTGGGGGGAGGAAGAGGTTGAGGGAGAGGCAGGATCCCAGACAACCTCCTATTCTTCCTGCAACAAAGAGGCTGAGAGGGAAAGGCATATATAGATATATAGTCATATATATGCACACATAAATGAAATAAATGAAGCAGTCCTTTTTACAATGTAACAGAATGAGGGTGGAGGTAACACAGAGGTACAGCGCACCGCTGTTGCTATGCAGTCTGGTTGGGGGGAGCCAGCGATGGTAAAAGCAACAGCTTTGCAGGTTACCAGAGGGAAGATGAGCCATACACCAAAGAGGGGCCCATGCTGAGAACTCCTGGCTGGCAACCCATCAGTGCCAGGCCACTCTCTGCCTGTATACTGAAGATCTGATATGGTCTTGCTGGGCCAGATATGGTTCCAGTGGAGCCCAGCAGTACAGGCTGCCAGTTTCCGGGCTCAGTGTGTCTCTCTCTCTTGTTCTCCAAGAGTCAGAGACTAGTGCCCCTGCCCCTTCCCTTTCTTGGTCACTGGGCTTCCAGAGATGCCCTGGTCTAGCATTTGCTCCTGAAGACTGGAGCAGAGGGAGAGAGGCTTCTCTGTGGTGGTTGCAGAAGGGGGAGTCTAGAGCCCCTGAATGCTAACAGTTGGTTCCCCTGCCTCGGAAACACAAAGGAGAAAATAAAAGCAAACAAGAAAGAGAGAAAGAGCTAGATCAAGAAAGGCTGGACAGGGAAAGAAAAAGAAGAAAAGAAAATCGTCTTCAAAAGAAACACCCGAAACAAGAGAAACAGACAGCACAAACAAACCTCCACACAAAAGAAACCACCAACTCAAACACATGAAATACAGTTTCACAAAAGATGGAGAACACGGATTTCCTGTTTATTTCCTTGGTGACTTCGTCATACAAAGGAACATGGCAAAACCCCCTCACAATCCAGACGATGGCCCACTAGCCAGCCCACTGTGGGGAAAGGAGGTGTGTTCTTCTGGTGGACAGGCAGATGGCGAAGTGGTGCAACACTACTAGATATTGTCGGTTGAGACTCAGCCTCCTCCTCCTGAGCTGCACACAGACCTGCGAAGCAGACACAGGACTACTTTAAGAATACAAGATTTAGCCAGGTGTGGTGGCGCACGCCTTTAATCCCAGCACTTAGGAGGCAGAAGCAGGTGGATCTTTGCGAGTTCGAGGCCAGCCTGGTCTACACAGTGAGTTCCAGGACAGCTGGGGCTACGGGGAGACCCTGTATCATAAGACAAAAAAAAACAAAAAAAAGAATACAATGTTCAACTATTCAATTGCAGCCCCAACCCCCTTTTTAAATGTACTGGGGATGGAATTCAAGGCCTTGCACACTTCATTCAAGTGCTCTACCGCTGAGCTACAGTCCCACCATGAAGTCTCTTTCTAAAAATGTCATTAGTGAGAAGAACATGGTGGCATACACCTTTAACCCCAGGACTCAGGAGGCAGAGGCTGGTTGATCTCTGTGAGATTGAGGCCAGCCAGGTCTACACAGTGAGCTGTGGCTACAGGGAGACCATGTTACAAAAAGACTAAAAAAAGAAAAGAAAAAAGAAAGAAAAAGGAAAAAGAAAAACAGTCAGTGGTGCATTCCGCACGCATCTGCCTGGATTCACTTTCCTCAAGTCTCTTCCATCTTTGCAGACAGAACCAGCAGTACTTAGGCACCCACTGTACCAAGCAGTTGGAACCACTCAGCCGCCTGCTTTTTAAAAAATTTATTACTTTTATTTTATGTGTATGAGTGTATTGCCTGCATGTATGTAAGTGTACTCATGTCATACAGTGCCTGAGGAGGACAGAAGAGGCCGTCAGATCCCCTGGAAGTACAGTTATGGACAATGCCAAAGAAAACGCTCAGAGCAAACGGCGCCATGTGGGTTGTTAGCTGCCATGTGGGTGCTGGAATTCGAACCTGGGTCTCCTGAAAGAACATCCAGTGCTCTTAACTGTTAAGCCATCTCTCCAGCTGAACCCCCTCCCCCTGCTTTTTTTAACCACTGGCCTCAGGCTACATATTCTGTGCAGGCTATCCTATGCATCCTATGCGTCCTCCTTACAAACCATGGCTGGGGCTGGGGAAGTATCTTAGTTGGAGAATGCTTGCCTAGCCCTGGTTTATCCTCAGTACCAGAAAAAATAAACCTATGAAGCATGGCTGGACTTGTTCTCTGGCTGGGTTTCGTCCTTCAGGACCGAGTTTAAAGACTACCTCCTTTTCTTGGTGTACCAGTCAGAGGTCACTGACAACTGTCCTCTGGAGCCATAGCTTACTGGGTCTCGTGGGGGCTATGGCATCTATAACATGAGGTGGGTCATGTGTCTTTTCTCCATAATTAAGCCCTAACCCACCCGAAACAAGCACAGCATTTAGTGGAAAAATAGCAGATGGGAAGGTCATATGGGAACAGTGGGGTCATCAAGTTCACTGACTACCATACGTGAAATGAACCCATGAACCCACTGAGGGGATCATGCTAGCACTTGAACACAGGGCTGTGTGGGGCTGGCCAGGGTGGTACTCACTGTTTCTTGCTACACACCAGCCTGCTCCATGCTGAAAGAGACCTCAGGGTGCTTGTAGCTGAGCAGGATGTCTGTAATACATGTGGATGGATGACAAGAGGAATTTGAATGCTGGCTGCCACCACTCAGGTCTGGGTGCGCCTGGCCTCCCAGACTCACCTCACATTCTGCAAGACCAAAGAGAACAGGTGAGATTGGGGGCGGGGGGGTAAGGGGCCAAAAGAGAAAAGGCACCAATCTAGCAATGTATGGCCTGACTCTGGCCCTGACTGAGTGCACAGTAGGCTCTTTAGATGTGAGTGATGGGCTGGGTTGAAGACCCTTCCTGACCACTTTCCCTTCTCCTTTACCCTTTCCTACCCACAAAACCCAGCAACTGATATATGTGGGAGATGATGAGAACTGCTCCCTCAGGCACTTCGTCTTGGGAGGGTGAAAGGGACAACTGTAGTACCTACAAGGAGCCAGGCCAGGGTGCATGTTCTGGGCATGTGCTAAACACTTTACTCACAGGAGTCTAGCACCCCTCAACAACAAAAGCTGGGACACTGGCACTATTCTCTTGATCGCTTCACACGCAAGGACCTGGGATACAGGGGGTTAAAAGCCCTGCCTGTGGAGCCTGGAAAGGGTAGACCTGTCCATTACCAGGCCTCCTTTATGGTCATCCTCCCTACCCTGGTTTTAAAAGGATGGAGAACTGTTCCATTAGGAGGCAAGGCTCTCTAAGGAGCTGCTGAGGTATATCTTCTTGCAGCACTGAACGTGGACTATGACAGCCCTGTGCTGATAGAAACCAGCCCTCCTTACACACCCACACTCAGGGAGACGTGGGGAGGGGCATTATGTGCAGAGCTTCACAGGGATGCACTCAGTCTTCTCATGAAGTCTTTCCACAGAAAATGGTAGTGGTCCCTCTAGGAATGACCCTGGGGTGCCCACACATAAGGCCTTACCCTCATTTTCCCCATCCTGAAGCTGCTGGCTGCCCATGAGTGAAGACTGACTGAGAACTGCATCTGACATCCGGGCGGAACTAAGAGCTTTCCCTGCTACCAGACTCATTCCTGGCAAGTTATCCAGCTGCACCTGCAGAAAACAGGAGAAGGAATAAGGCCAGTGGAGAATGTAGCACTCTCAGGGGACCCTCAGGGACAGCTGTTCCCTCTAAAACAGCCTAGCCAAAGGGTAGCCTGGGAGAATCCCTCCCTTCCTCTACAGAATCATCCCAGGAACAAGCAGCAATGGTGACACTGGGGCACCAGGTACCATATCTCATCACCTCTGCCCGTCCAGCACTCTGCACTCTGTGGTGATGGCACTGATCTCTAGTGCCCTGTGTAACCTGGTGGCTACTGAGCATGTGACATCTGACTAATATGACCAAGTTTGTAATTGTATATGACTTCAATACATTTACATTTGAATAGCCACAAACTGGCTGGTGGCTACCCCCAAAGGGTGTGGCCAGGTCAACAAGGCTTTACTGATAGATCAATCCTCAAGGAAGTCAGATTAAGTATAAGTGTAAAGAGCCCCTAGAAGCAGATCAAGAGTCAAGGGTTTGTTTGCTGGCGCCTGAGTTTAGACTTCTGGGAGAGGCTGAGTAAGACCCCAGACCCCAACTCATTTGATTCCTAAGTCTAAAATTTGAATGAAAACTTCTGCTGGAACTCCACTGGAGTTAAGGCTGGTCTGTTAGGGGAGATTCAAAGAAATGCTCCCATAGTTCCCAGAAGGGCTGAACTCTGAGTGCAAAGAGGGGAAGAGTGGCTGTTTTTGTTTTCAAGTTGGGATGGGCAGGAGATTCCACCTCTGAGAAGCAGGAGCCAACATACATAAGCATCATCACTGTTCTGGATGGTGTGGTGCCTCTGGAGGGTCCGGGGCCTGAGGTGCTCACTGACGGAAGGCCGTGTCGGATACCTGAACCCGTTGTGATCCGGCAGCTCCATTGCTTGCCCTGGAGAACTTCTATCCATGCAATTCCCTATGACAGACTCTGAGGACACAGAGCATAGTCAGGTGAGTGGGCCCAGAGCAGCTCCTAGCAATGCCAATTCACGTGAAAGCCTGGCAGGAGACAATGAGCCAGAGCACACCCACCTCTGCCCAAAGGCCAGTCCTCAGCCGGCTGGGCACTGGCATTTAGAGGAGCCTGGACAGGCTGGCAACTCCAAGTCCTACAGAAAAGTTGAGTTTCTTCAAACTTTAGCTTTTTCCACTCTAAGCCCCAAGAGAAAAAGCACATCTAAAGGGTGTGAGTTGGGTCACATGGATCTCTTCTTCCTCCATCTCTCTGCGGACTTAGCTTGTGCTATGCTCCTAAATGAGATACCTCAGTAGGGGTAACTCTGGAGCTGCCAGGAACCTCTGGCCTGCACTCTAAGGATGCCTCCTCTCTCCTTTCTTGGTTTCCACCTCAGCACCATCCCAAGCCTTTCCTCTTGCTGCGTCCAGCTCCACTCATGGCTCCTCTGCCCTTCATAAGCAAACACTCACATTTCCCTGCTTGACTTTGCTCCCCAAGGTTACCTGGACAACATCATCTAAGTTCATAGCTTCAACTACACTGCCTCTGCAGAAAGAATCACTGAAATAGGGCCAGTCAGATGGCTCAGTGGGTAGAAGCACTTGCTGCCAAGCCTGATGATCTGAGTTCAAGTCCCAGAACCCACATGATAGGAGAACTGACTCCTACAAGTTGTCTGATCTTCATACACACACACACACACACACACACACACACACACACACACACACACACACACACACACACACACACACAGAGTATAGAAAACATTGTTGAAATGCTTTTTTAATAAATCAATCTTTAAAAATAAAATCCAGCCAAATCAGATCCATTATTTCCTTGGCTATCTAATTAGTATGTTAACACTTACCATGTCCAATTCCAAACTCATCAACTTCCTTAGAATCTTTACTCCTTTAGACACCCTTGCTTTGGCATCGCATCTTCCTAATCTTTAAGGTATAAGCTCTTGAAGTCACAACTGATTCCTTATTCCTGGTCCCACAACAGTTAGAAGTCTAAAAAAAAATCCACCTGTGCAATGGTGGACACATCAGTCTCCAAACTTTACAATCTCACTGAAGGTCATTGCCTGTTACCTACATTATTTTCTAATCAGCTCCTAACAACTACCCTATGAAGATTACACTTGCTTTTTTTCCTTCTTCTGAAATTTTTTTAGTGTATGTGTATGTGTGTGTGTGTGTGTGTGTGTGTATGTCTGCAGGTGCATGCACCCATGCATGTGCATGTGGAAGCCAGAGAAGGTCATCCGGTGTCTTCCTCTATTGTTTTCAATTTCATTCCCTTGAGAAAGGGTCTTGCAGAACTGGAAGCTCACTGTTTCAGCTAGGCTGGCTGGCCAATGAGCTTCCAGGATCCTCCTGTCTTTGTCCCCCAGTGCTGGGGTTATAGGAATATGCAGTCATGCCTGGCATTTTATTTGTGTGTTGGGGATTTGAACTCAGGTTCTCATGTTTACACAGCAAGTGCTCTTAACCACTGAGCCATCTCCCCAGTCCCTCCCACCCCCTTTTGTTATTGTTGCAGTGGTAAGGCTGAGCCCAGCTCACACATACTAGGGATGCTTCCTACCACTGAGTGATATACATCCCCAGCCCTTTAGTATTTTTTATTTTGAGACAGGGTCTCACTAAGTTACCCCAGCCTTGAACTCACTTGGTATCCCAGGCTTGAACAGTGTTCAATCCCTTGAACTTGTGATCCTCCTGCCCAGCTTCCTGAGTAGTTGGGATTACAGGTGTGTGCAGGCCTGGATTAAAGATTATGCTATTTCTTTTTATTTATATATATAACTACTGTGTGTATGTACATACCTCATGTGCATGCCGGACACCCTAAGAGGACAGAAGAGGGCACTGAATCTCCTGAACTGGAGTTATAGGTAGTTGTGAGCAGTCAAATGGGTGCTAGGAACTGAACTGGGATCCTCTGCAAAAGCAGCCAGTGCTCTTAACCGCTGAGCCATCTTTCCAGCCAAGATTACGCTTTCTGTAATCGATACACTTAGTTTCACAACACTGCCCAGGCCCGTCTACCAAAGGGCCTCTCACACCATCCTCTACTCTACTCCACTCCACACTCTAGTCAGGTGCAATCACTCAGCTCTTCCTGCCCAGTCACAGTTCTATGCATTTGCTCTTGCTGCTCCGGGGTCTGAAGGACATGGTTCTTTTACCTCCATTCCTGCCCATCCAAGCCACCTCATTCTTCTAGGTGCATCTCAAATGGAAATAGAAGGACTCCTTAAACTTCAGAAGAATGCCTCTGATTGTTCTCATGTGACTTGGTACCAATCAGCAGAGTGCTTGTCCTCATCATTACTACTGGATGAGAAGTTCTTTGATGCTAAGAACTGTGCCTTATGCATGCCTGGGAGCTTCAGTGTTCCAGAGCACTGTCCTACCATCGGTGAGGGTCTCATGACTTTCTCTCTAACAGATGGTCATATACACTCTCCTCATATGGGTTCTGTTCCTCCAGAATCCTGCAATTCTGTGGCCTGGAATCTGGAGGAAAATCAGTTTCTTCTTGATCCAGGCCAGTTAAGGAGACTACCAGGGCCGTACCTAAGTGAACAGGACCTTCTGGGCAGCACCTTCTGTCTTCAGCTTGTGAGAGCCTAGGACTTAAGCATGTGTTCTTTGGTTTTGTGAGGCAAGGCTTTTTGGAAACCACTGGTCTATCTCCTGATAAATCTATTACTGATGAACCCAAGTTTTAAAAATATCTTCTTACTGGGAAACACAGAGCTAATGCTAACTGTGCTATTCCAGTATTCATTAAACAGCACAAGCAAACACACAGGCTATGGGTTCAGGTTTCTAAATCTCAATGGCCTCTTATGATGATCAGGGTTAGGGCTAGGCTTAGGGGCTGGTATAAGATGGGAAAGCCTGGGTGGGGATTAACTGACATGCACATTGCTAGGAATGTAAGACATTCAAGGTGAAAACCAGGTGAAGCTGTGAGGAATCTTTTTCTGAGTGAACAGGGCAAAGGAAAAGCTGAAATTATTATTTTGCTACTGAGTGTTAAAAGTCAGCAGAAGGAGGAAGATAAAAGTAAGCCCACAGGAGAAAACCTACTTTTTCTGTGGGATTTCCTCACCATCTTGCTCACTCAGCCAATTCCTTTCAGCGGACACAGCTCCTGTGTGACCTCAGGGCAACCAAAACTACTGGTCAGAAGGGGAAGGAGCTTGAGAAGTTGCTGATTCTCCAGCCCTGCCCAGACACAGCACTGGCTGCTTTTTTTTATATGCCCTTTCTCTCACACACACACACACACACACACACACACACACACACACACACACACACACACACAAATAAATGAATGTAATATAATAATAATAATTAATAATAATAAAGGGCTAGCAAGATGGCTTAGTGGATAAATGTACTTACCACTTAGCCTGATGACCTGAGTTCAATCCCTGGGATTCACATGGTAGAAGGAGAGAACCTACAAATTGTCCTCTGACCACCTCATGTGGGCCATGGCACATATCCCCTCATACCAAAAAACTAACCAACCAAACAAACAAAAGACATGTTTAAAAAAAAAAAAAAGGATGTTAGGGCATTAGAGATACACCCCAATGGGGTTTGGACTTGGATCCTCCTTTCTCTCTCTCTTATTTCCCAGTCAAGATGAGATGAGCAGCCTTGGTCCACACACACTCCCTGCCATGATGTTCTGCCTTACCACAGGCCCCAAAGCAAAAGGGACAAATTATGGGCTAAAAGTTCTGAAACCCTGAGCCAGAATAAACCTTTCTCTTTGTAAGTTGGATTTCCCAGGCATTTTGTTAGAGCGACAGAGGCATAAAAGAAAGAATCTAAGGACCAAGTCAGGAAACTTAAGCCAGGATCCAGCTTCACCACCACCAGGGTGTACAAAGCTGGGCAGGTCAGTTAACTTCTCCTTAGCCTCAAGTCCTTATCTGATAGATGGTGATTGTGTCAGGACTCAAAAACAAAACAAAACAAAACCCCCAAAACAGGAAGGTCTTTGATAAAAATGTGAAGGATTCCACAGGTGAAATGGAAGTGTTGGGGTCAGCAAGAATAAGGCCTGAAGTCCTTCCTGTCATTTGGTATGATGAGACCTACAGACTACAGGGGTGTGAAAGGAACTGACCAAGGAACTTCAGGAGCTAGAGAGGCCAGCAGGCTCGCAGAAGGATATATAATGTAGGGAAGATGACTTCTAAGAGCTGGAAGGGTGCAGAAGGTAGAATGACTATCTGATCGTGAGAGGGGAAAAAAGTAAAAATGGATCCAAGGCACACCACCTGCCTACCCGGGGGAACTCTGGGGCAGCTTGTGTAACTCTGTTGAATCTGTCAATGTTGACTTATCCTTACTCATTTACTGGTTTTTAAGAGTAAATGAGAGAAAAGACATGTTTGCATGCCCCTCTTAAGGGTGCTAAGGGGTAACCTCTTAACCTCTCCAAGGCTGTCAGCATTTTATCCTCTAAGAGGCCCACAACTGACAGGGCTCAGAGATGATGTGTTTTTCTTTGTGAATTTAAATTGGAAATCTCATTGTATAAACTGGCTGCACTACTCTGTTTTTTACTTACAAAATCAAAAAAACTTCAGCCTAGCTGGGTATGGTGGCGAACATCTTTAATCCTAGCATTTGGGAAGCAGAGGAAGGTGGATCTCTGTGAATTCAAGGCCAACCTGGTCTACATAGCAAGCTCCAGGCCAGCCAGAGCTACAGGGAGACCCTGTCTCAAAACCAACCAAAACAAAACATAACACAACACAACAAAACAAAACTTCAGCCTATGTAACATTGCTCTGAAACTTTCATGCACTTGAGAGAAATTTTTGGCAAACTGCTTGCTCAGTGCGCTGGCACTCCTACTGGCTGGAGGCAAACAGCCACACAGGAAAGAGGAAACCACAGAGAGTGACATAAGGGCATCTAGGT